CCTAGCTGGACATGCCTCATCCAACCTCAGTTTCTACATGTGGAAAACTAAACCTGTGTCACATGGTGTTGCCTGGTTGCCAGAGGGTAGTAATGTGTGGGTGCCTGGAAGGGTGGAAGACCCCCCCCCCCACACACACACACACACACACACACACACACACACACACACTGCAGCCATTGTGAAAGCAGGAAGGCCTAAGAATTAATGGAGCTGAAAGTAGCTAGAAATTGCCTCTAGAGAACTGGCAGAATCCAACCTAAATTGGGCTTCCCAGTGCTAACTGGGAATTAATCAGGAGAAACAATAAGCAACCAGAAAGGTGTGGAGAGGCAGCCAAGGGAGCCTGCCTACCTGAGCCTTGCTAGGGCACTGGTCTCCCCAGCAGCCTTCAGGGAGTGGGGCCAGTGAAGCACCTGATTGCACTAGACAGGGTAGCAGGGGTACACATCAGAGGCCCGGAGAGACCCATGAGGGGGAAGCAGGGCAAGGCAGTGGGGTGTCGGGAAGGGGCACACATGGTGCTGGTCCCTGGGTCCTCGGCAACTGGAAGTTTACACCCAATAGTAGTTTCAGGAGCATGGGTGGGCTCTAAGAGCTAACTGGGGCTTTCCACCCTCTTGTCAGATTAGAAAACTAATCTAGCCCAGCTACAGTGGATAGTGATGGCCATTGTCATCTAGCCACCATTTCAAAAAACAGGACTGGACACCCCACTTAGAGTCTGGCAACTGAATGTGGGGTCATAATAAAGTCTGGCAATGGTGAAAGATTTCTAAGCACACAAGGACCAGAATTAAAGCAAGTGAGTAATGAGTCTGTGCTGCTTGTGGCATGGTGACCTCACTGCCCACTTTGTTCGGAGCACTTTGTACTTCGCGTGTTTTCACTCTACACAATGCCACTGGCCGGTGCCTGAAACACCTTGGCTCAGATCTGAGACTGCCCTGTATTCTGAACTGCAATGTTCCTACTGTACAAACAAAGCTTTCTTCTCTTGCAGAAACAGAATGCTTTAATTACATAAAACAAAGGCTATGGAGATTTTCCACCTGTCACATCTCAGCATGTATATAGCCAATCGTACAACTTTGGCCTATGATGTGTCAGAAAGTGTGATTATAAAATTTGCTGATTGAGTTACTGACTTGAGTCTCATAATAAGAAATAAATAATAAAAAAATCATTTAATGAATTTTGGGATTAGGACAGAATTCCCAGCAGACTCTGGAATGGCCCTAACATTCTGCGGCCATGTTTTACTACCTACTTGAGTGGACTGATATCCTCAGCATTGATGATTATAAAATCAAAATATTGGCCAGCTCTGAAAAATACCAAAGCTGCTTCATTTTAAACCTAATTTATATAGCTAAGGTTATATACAAATTTCTCAAGTACAGGGGCTAAAGAGATAGCTCAATGGTTAAGATCATTGGCTGCTCTTTCAGAGGATCCATGTTCAATTCCCAGCATCCACATGATGACTCAAAGCCATTCAAAGCTCTAGTTAAGTCAGATCTGTCACCTTCTTCTGGCTTCTGAGGGCACCAGGCATATACATAGTACACACAAATACACGTGTACTGAACACTCTACACATAAAACAAATACATATTCTTTTTAATTTCTCAAGTACAAAGAAGTCACAAGTGGAAAAGACTTAAAAAGCTGGGATCTAGACAGCAGGATGGTGGCAAGTCAGAAACTGAACTCTGTCTACCTGCTGTCTGCTCACTGACATCTCCTCCAGCAGGGCTGGGCATGGAGCTCAATAGTGAGTGTATGCTCAAGAAGTATGAGGTCCTGGACTGGTCCCAGTAGCCCCTAAAAGAGGGAAGTAGATACTGTAATTGGGAGGGCTGTGGCTACACTCAAACAGAGGGCAGAGGCAATATTCTGAGCTACCACCAAGGTGGAAATTGGGATCTTCCCATTTAACCATAAGCCAAGCAGCTCTACCCAAGGGGTTATCTCCTGGGCTGGAACCAAGTATAACCACTGTTCTTGCCCAACACATCTATAGAAAAAAAAAATGTCAGCTTCTGGCCCAGACATCTTCTGGCTATGTGTCCTTGGGAAAGTCATTGCCCTCTCTGAGCTCTGACTGTCAACTCTCCTCTCCCAAAACTGAGACCAGGGTAGAACTGGGAATGTTTTTGGAGACTGCAAAATGTTAGATGGGTATAAGGTTTTAAGCAGAAAGATACTGTTTATTTGTTAAGCAATTAGGGCAGAGAGCTCCTGGTTGATAATAGGTATGCCTCTGTTATTATTTAAAGGACAGAGGGAATCTACTATCAGATGCCATGGAGACCTGGAAGCTCCTAGGCTGTTCCATAGTCTCACTGTAAGCAGTTGGCTTGGTCAGGTGGGGTCTCAAAGTCTCTGGTGAAATGTGCAGTCAGTTGTGTTCCAGGCTAACTCACCAATCATTAGCCACAGACTCCTGTTTATTCTGCCCCAGCCTGGAATTTGGCCTGTTACAAAACCCCAGCTTCAGGAGATCAGGTTGGGCCAAAGTATGTGAAGGTGGCCTCCCAGGAAGATGCTGCATGCTTGCTCAGCGGACTCTAAGCCACGCCCAGCAAGGGAGCCACGCCCAGCACAGGGAGCCAGCTAACTTCTGTAGATGCCTCTCTGAGGGCTTGGCTGACCCCCAGAAGCTAGCCCTAACCCCCAGAGCGCCCCTTCCAAAGCTGGGTGGATGCACAAGCTTTGGTAGAAGGCAGGGCAACTACGGCAACCACAGCGGTTCTTTGGCTAAGTCACCTGTAATTGAGTAATCTTGAAATTTCTCTCATGTCAACAATCTGTGGCTCTGACCACAGAGCTGTGAAAATGGAGCTGCTGTATCCATCCACCTGTCATTCCGGGCTTCACCCATTGGCCCTTTGGCCCCTTCCTTAGGAGAACAAAGGCGACACAACCAACAAAGGTCGGGGTTTTTGCATAGATTTTGAAGGACACATGCACTGCTGGGGGCATAAATGAATTCATGGATGAAAAATGCTCAAAACTGTCTCCCTGGCCACCCAGGGTCACTTGGTCTGCTTTGTTCTTACTAAGGGTGCAGCCTCGCTGCTGAGTTAGCCTGGCTCTTGAGCCTGGTTGATAGAAACAGCCCCCTGTGTTTCTACGTACAAGGTTTGGGCAAACTGGTATTTTCATACTTAGGGGCTATTTCCATCTGTCTGGCCTCTTTTCTAACTACAGTGTTGGGTAATGTGCCTTTAGAACAGAGCTATCTGTCATTGCCTGCTAGGAATGAATGTTCTCAGGCCCCACCCCAGGCTGACTGAGTCAAACACTTGGGGGAGGGCTGCAGTGTATGACAAGCCTTAGTGGAGGGGAGAATGCTGTAGTATCCAGACACAAAGGCAGGACTACCGCAACCCCCGTTCCCCGTGCTGTATGTGAAGCAGCCCCCGTACTGACAGCGGGTCCTGTGAAAGCAGCACAGCTAACCCCACACTGGAAGAGAAACCCATGTGGGACCAGCCACAAAGCCGGGGAACTGTCTCAAAAACACCCAAGGCCATCATATGATTCGTAACCCAGGTGGCAACTGCTCGCTCATGCAGTCTGGTCTCATCTTCAGCTCTTCCGCAGGTTGATAGTTCTGTCTTTAAAGCCCACAGATCCACTCTTCCAGGAGGATTCCTGCATCCTTACCCATTCCAGATTGGGTTCCTAACCCATGCCAGCCCCTAGCTGGGCACTGGGGCTAAAAAGATACCTAAGAATTGATTGTTATTCTCAGGAAGGTCACAAAATAGTCAGCTTGGCCTCAGGGAATGGTGCAGCAAGACAGGAACAGACTAGATTGGTAAGCGGGGGCCTTTGGAATCCTGGGGAACTAGGTGAGTGTGAATGGCCACGAGAGTGTTGAGATTTCCCAGGGTGGCAGCAATTGTGGTTCAACTGCCCCCTTTCCTCCATTGCTATTCCTTCATTGTTGGTTTCTCTGAAAGCTGCATTTTCACTTTTTTGAATACTACCATGACCTCTTTGTTTTTTCATTCTGTTATGAGCTGAGCTCTGATAGGCACAGTAGGGTGATTCCCAGAGTCGTCTCTTAGGGATGAGGATGTTAGGAAGCTTGGGGAAACAGAAACGGATGACATAGGAATTTGTGGGATCTGCTCTCATGGAGCCTGCATGTCTACTTGGTCTTCTTGCTTCTGGAGCAGCTCAGTGTTGGACCTGTTACAGTGTCTTTGGCTGTAGGTAACTGAAGCATAAACCCAGCAGCTTAGTCTCCTCATTTATAGCAAGAGCCCAGAGCAGGCAGCTGGTAAGCTAGGTCCAGAGACTTCCAAATGCCAGGCCAGTGACTCAGACTCCCTTGGCCTCTTTCCTCATGTTTATGTCTCAGAGTCACATGATGCCAACCAGGGCTGCCTGGTGGCACAGCTCTGTAACCATTGCTACTCAGGAGGGTGAGGCTGGAGAATAGCATGCTCAAGGTCAACCTGGGCTATAGAGGGCAAGACTAGCCTGAGCAGTTTAGTAAGACCCTGTCTCCAAATAAAAAGTAAGAAGTGCTGGGCTGGGCATGACACTCTGAGGTAAAGTACTTGCCTGGGTTTGTAAGGTCGTGACAAACAAGGAATCCTTTAGTGCTCTCATAGTGCCTGTTCCAGGCAGGGTGACGGGGTGGTAGGTATTACCAGAGCAGAGCCAGGTATTTTTTTTTTTAAATGGGGCAAACAAAAACTTTCCCAGAAACCATCATAGCACACCTTCTCTTCAAGTCCCATCAGTCAAAGCTGTATCACATCACCTTAAGGCAGTGTTTCTCAGCCTGTAGGTTGAGACCTCCTTGGGGGTGAATGACCCTCCTTTCACGGGGGTCTCCTAAGACCATCAGAAAACAAAGATATTTACATTAGGAATTATAATAGTAGCAAAATTACAGTTGTGAAGTAGCAACAAAAATAATTTTATGGTTTGGGGGTCACTACAATGTGAGGAACTGTATTAAAGGGTCACAGCATTAGCAAGTTTGAGAACCACTGCCTTAAGATATGCTGGAGGAAATGTCTGATGGCAACTCACAGACTCTGCTGTTGCTAGGGAACAGGAGCTGTGACAACAGCGGGAAGCTAGCCCTGGACATTACAATCACCAGCACTCCCTCCATTATTGTTGTAACAAGCTAGCCCACACCTGCACAGGACACTGCTATGGTAGTTCCTTGTCTATATGGCAGAATGGTCCTAGGTACTCAGTCCTCTAGCTATGTTATGCTGCTCAGACCATAGGAAGGAGGGTGTGATGTCAAATGACCTATAACACTAGCTCTAAAGTAGGGAAAGGGAGATATGGATAGAGGCTGTATATTGCTGAGGCCCTGCCACTCCAGCTTCAGGACACAGAGGGATGGGCATGTCCAGGGAAAAGTTACTGTGTTGCACAGCCCTTCTGTGGCTTCTACAGGGCTGTATCTTCAGGATTCCCAGCTGCAGTGTGGTTGCCCCCAGTCTACTCCACAGCCGTTCAGGACTCCATCTGAGCCTCATTTTCCACAAAACAAGTTCGTCACTGACTATGTGGGGGTGGGGATAGAGAGAGAAGAACCACTTCCCAGTATACACCCTTCCACCATCTCACTTCCTCTTAAGTCATCTCTTTCCAATCCCTGTTGCTCCCCCCTTCTTCCCAATTCCCCAGGGACCTCAGATTCTTTCCATTCTGGGGAGCAAACATTGCTATGGTTTGGGTGTGATCAGAATGTACCCCAAGGGTTCTTGTGTTAGAAGCCTGGCCTCCAGCATGAAGACATTAAGAGGCAGGTGCCAGGGGGCTGTCAGAATAGAGCAGGGTGGTTTTGTGGTATTTTTATAGCTCTTGTGAGAACAGCTTGTCCTTCCCTGTGTTGTCTTTCTGTCTGTCATGTGCATTTCATACTAGTCACAATGATATGACATAGCCAAGGAGGCTGTTGCCAGAGCCATGCCATTCAGACTTCCAACCTCTGGACTCTGAGCCAAATGAACCTCTTTTCTTTATAAACTACCCAGATTCAGGTATTTCCTCATTGTAATGGTAAGTAGACCTGGGTAGCATACAGTAGCAGCTGGTATTCATGATGGATGGAAGCTGAGGTCATGGTTTTGCTACATTTTTTCCTGTTTTGGACTGCCTGGTCTAGTCTGGTGCCTAAAATGGGTCTGCTCAAGGGTGGTTGGTCTCATCTGGCTTTGGTGCAGTGTAGCCACCTATCACTGAAATCCACAGTTCGTAAATCTGCCCACACTAGCCTTTCTAGGACACTTGGTGTCCTACCCTGGGCCCCAGGGAAACTGCAGATACCACTCACAATGTGTGCCACAGGCCTTATTTGCCTGCCTGCTTCTTTCTGTAAAGGCTGCACTGTGGACCCTGCACCATGATCTTGGGCAGCTGGGCACCAGCTTCCCTTTCTACCCTGCCAGAGCCATGCTCTCAGCCCCTCCCTGATGTTTCTGCCTGGCCCCCTTCCAGGGTCCCCACCCCCAGAGCTGGAAAAGCCAGATCCTGTGTGGCTGGTTGGTCTTGTCATCCTATTGCCATCATCTCTGCAGAACAGACATGAGGTGAGGGTTGGGGGCACACAAGAGGATCAGAGCCGCCTCCCTCACCTCCACTAGCTCTCTACTAGCTCAGGACTTCCTCCAGGTTGAGTCTTTCAGGTAAGCTCAGGTGCTGTGGTTTGAATGTGTGTTTTTTCACAAACTTGTTTGCTGGAAATGTGATGCCCAACACAGATGGTGTTTGAAGATGTCACCTGTGTGAGATAACTAGGATTAGGTGAGGTCATGAGGGTGGACCCATGATGGCAAAGTGCAGGAAGACACACCTGGGTTGGCACACCTGTCTGACTCACAATGCTACCTCATTAGGAGGGCTCCCCAGATGTTAAGAGGGTGCTGGTGCCAGGCTCCTTGACCTGTAACCCACAGAAGCATGAGCCAAACAAGTTTTTCTTCTTTATAAATGATCCAGTCTCATGTATTTCCTCACACCAATGAGAAATGTGCTAGTACAATAGATTATAGCCAAATAACAACAACAAACCAACAAACCCAACAGCCATTCTGAAATGGAAAACCAACAAATAGTATGGCATCAGTTGCCCTCTACAGTGCTTGGGGCAGAGTAAAGGATCCCTGCTTGACAGTTGCCATCCTCTTAAAAACAATCAAACATAACAGTCAGGGATGGAAACAACAGTGATTTCTCCCTGCACATATGGTAGGTGATGACTATCATGCTGATAACTTGCTGCCCAGCTAGCTATGGATGACAAACTCAACATCACGGCCACAATGAGTGTCAGCTTGTATGTCTGTTCCTGCTTCAGGCCACCCCCTAACCGTTTCTCAGGATGTAAGCTTCTTTCTCCCCAGCCTCCCACCCTCTCTTGCCTAGTGTCTGGGTGCTGTCCCCATCAAATAACACATTACAATAAATTGATGTTAAACAACAGTGAAGTTCAGCTTATACCTATTCTGACAAACTACATAAAGTATAACATCTGGTGTCAGAAACCACTGACAAAAACCTGCAGTGAGTTGCAAGAGTTTCAAAGAGTGACCATAGCCCTTGATCCAGGGTATACAATACGGGAGAATAATTCCCAAGAAGAACTGTCAGGTGCATGTTTATTGTAGCAATACCTGTAATAGCTCCACACTGACAACTGAGAAATCAAATGACAGAGAAGGGCAAAGGAGAATGCAACACCTGGAAGCTGGGTGATGTCATACAGTCATTAGAAGTGATGAGAAAATTAGGGTGTAGCAAGCATCAGGGATGTTTGGAATGTGATGCTCAGTTAAAAAGGCAAAGAGTACCAACTCATCTTTTTGCAAGTTCTTGAAAACCCTCTAGACTTCCATCAGCCAGATCCCATCTATCTGCTCCTCCCTCCCCATCTTTGTCGTCCAGGCCCATTCAGGCCTCACTGCTGCTGGTCCCATGAGATGGAGTCCATAGTACATAGAACTCAGTAGTGGACATGTCCACACCTGGCTCTGCCTGTTCCCTGCTGCCTGGCACTTAAAGACTTGCTAAATTCAAATGTCAATGGCAGGCATTCAGCTACTGTTCATTGAATGCCTACAAGACAGCTTTGGGTATGACCAGCATTATTTTGCATTATTTTATTCTGAAGTGATATATGCAATTGATACTATTGTTATTCTGCCCATAAACATGAAGCGCAGAGGATTTGTCAAAGGTCCAAGTCTATTTTAGTTCATGAACTTATTAAAGGGAAGTGAGGTGATGGGATCTGACTTGCTTTATTTCAAGCTCTTTGTCTTTCTCTCTGTTTGCCTGCCTGCCTGAGATCCTCATCATTGTCTTTCAGAGTGCTTTCAGGCATGATCTAGCAAATACTGAGTAGAGCTCTTGTTGGTTCCATTTGTCCAGGGTGTGTGTGTGTGTGTGTGTGTGTGTGTGTGTGTGTGTGTGTGTGTGTGTGTTCGCCAGCACCTGTGACTGAGAAGGAGAAAATGTGGCAAAACAAAACTTGATACTTTTCTCTTGAGTGAATGGGGAAATTCCTCTCTTTTGTATTTCCCTTAAGTGTTAAAGTATGCTGCAAAGAGAGGTATCCTGCTAGGTTTCAAGACTTTCTGAGATTCCCAGTAGACCTACCTATCTTAAAGGGAGATAAGTCGTTTTGGTCATTTAATCCCCTTTCCATCTTCTTGTCAGGGCCAAGAGAGGACATACAGTTTCAAAGCTTGCCTGTGTTGCAGGAAGCAGCTGTTATAAGCAAGCATACTACAGACCAGGCCCTTTGCACACGGCAGTGACTTGCTCGTATCCAGGCACTGAATTCTTGCTGCCTGTGGGAAGCTGAGCTATTGTTGTCTGTCGAGCTGGCTCATCACTGGGTGTGTGTGCTGGCTGAGACAAGGCACATGAGCATAAATGGAGCATGTGCACGGCCACCATCACTATGGAAATCATGACTCTGAAGGCTGGTGCTGAGTCTAAATGAGTTGAAATTTGAAGAACACATCCATCACATAGGTTCACACTGGTTCAGGCTTGCATCTCATTACTGTACCACTCTGCCTATGTATTATGAATTAATATATCTAATAAATCCTGCAATTATCTTGTGAACAGTACACAATTATATTGCTTTGTGTTTTGTTTTCAGTATTAAAAGCAGGAATTTGGTCAATGTAAATGTTTAAAATTTACTTCAATTTTCCTAAACTTTGCTTAAGCATGCTTTTTTTAAAAAAATCTACTCTAAAAAATCCTTAAAGCTTATAGAGCCCCAGCCCTTTGTATCCTGAGGAATGGAGCCCAGGACACACATGAGCTCAAAGGTCTCACTCATTGTGAGGTACTCTGCAGTGCTTGAAGATGGATCCTACTCTTTATACAGAAAATAAAAGCAATGGGATCTGAAGATGTAAGAAACAGAGTCTTGTTCCAAAGGCAGTGGGGAACTTATATTTAAAAACCTGCTTCTTCACTGAACCATACTCCTAGAATCCAGTTGCAGAGAGGGAGGAGGGATGAGCAAAGGAACAAAGACAGTGCTGGAGAAACCAGCAGAAACAGTTGACCTGGCCTAGTGAGAGCATGGAGACCCTAGTCATAAAGCTGGGGAAACAGCATTGGACTGAACCAAGCCCTCTGAATGTGAGTGCCAGCTAAGAGGCCAAGACAGTCTATGGGACCTCTAACAGTGGAGCCAGTCTTTATCCCTAGAGCACAAATGGACTTTGGGAGCCCATTCCCTATAGAGGGTTACTATTGCAGCCCAGATACGGCAAGGAGGTCCTAGGCTCTCCTCCAAATGATATGATGGTCTTTGAAGGTCCCCCATGGAGGGCCTCACTATCCCTGGGGATAAGTTGGGGGATGGGTTGGGGGAGTTGGTGGGGAACATGGGAGGATGGGAGGATGAGGGAATGGGGGTATGGATGTGTAAATATGAGTGTCTCTAAAATAAAAAAATAATTAAATAAAAAATTAAAAAAAAAAACAAAAATGCTTGTCTTCCTCAAAACAAAACAAAACAAAAAACCCTGCTTCTTCCATAAACCCCACAGAAACGATCATGGGATAAAAAGGGGAATACATTTACAAAGACAAAGAGCATGGGAGTATATTTTCAGGTAACGTCTGTAAAAAGGGAAGTGGGTAGCTAAGTAGTAAAGAAGCATTAACCGAATGCAGCCAGAGCAGCCCAGAACATGGCAGGAGTTAGGAGCACCAGATAGCTCTGTGTCTGGATAAGCAGAAGACAGTAGGGAGGGAGGAAGGAGCAAGTGATACCAGCAGCAGCAACAGCACCTACAGCACCATCACAGTCACCTCTACAGCCATCAGCATTGCAGACCACCACTGCAGCCATCAGCACCGCTACCCACCACTGCAGCCATCAGCATTGCAGACCACCACTGCAGCCATCAGCACCACTGTCCACCCCTGCAGCCATCAGCACCCCTGCCCCCCTCTGCAGCCATCACCCCCCCTCCCCCCCCCGCCAGCCATCAGCACCACTGTCTTCCACAGCAGCCATCAGCACCACTGCCCACCACTGCAGCCATCAGCACCACTGTCCACCGCTGCAGCCATCAGCACCACTGTCCACCACTGCAGCCATCAGCACCACTGTCCACCACTGCAGCCATCAGCACCACTGCCCACTGCTGCAGCCATCAGCACCACTGTCCACCATTGCTGCCAGCTCAGCCACATAGCTGCAGGTTCTACCTCTAAGAGTACCATTAGCAATCAGCTCTACCACCACCACCATCACTGTTGCCAACATGCCATCACCACTGTCACCAAATCCATCATTGCTGCTGCCACCACAGTCACTGCCATCACATTTGCCACCTCCATGAGTATCAATACCATGCCAACATCACTTCTTCACTCTACCAGTAAATCTAAGCACATGTCCCACTTATCACAATAAAACCCTGGATGCTTGTCCTTGGAGAAGGTGAATTAGTGTCACTAGGAACTATGCTGATAGGGGTTGTAAAATACAAAGCTGTTTCTCAAACAAATATCGAGTGAAAGTGTCATGAAGTAGTGAGGTCCCCCCTGGCTGCTGGAGGAATAGATTCCAGGCAGGAAGCTGGAGAAGTCCTTTCTAGGGATGCTAACAAGAACAAACCTAGCTCTCTCCACTTTTAATCCAGAAGTGAGACTGGCCAGCCAACAAGCCCACTCAAGAGGCTCTAGATAGCTTCTCAACACTCAATTGGAAACCTCAGCCTAGGGCCGGGCATTGGTGGTGCATGCCTTTGATCCCAGCACTCAGCAGGCAGAGGCAGGAGGATCTCTGTGAGTTCAAGACCAGCAGCCTGGTCTACAGAGTGAGTGCCAGGATAGGCTCCAAAGTTACACAGAGAAACCCTGTCTCAAAAAAAAAGAAACCTCAGCCTAAGTCGGTAGATAATCACAGCCTCCACCAGCACCACCATAGGAATGAAGAACAGATGAGGAACCCAAAGGGAACAGAGAGGATTCTGGGAACAAAAGAAAAGTCCCAAGGAAATCACAGCTACCCACTCAGGAGTCACAGAAGGCTGGCTGGTCATTTTAAGTGCTTCAGGCTGATATGTAGCCCAGGGTTGCCAAAGATATGAAACATTAAAGGTTAAGTCTTTGCTGTGTGGAGTTCTCGGCATGCTGTATGTTCATGGCATCCCTGGATCTAAAAGGAAACAAATACCGTTTTTGTAGTAAGTGGCTGTTGGGGCCCTTTTTCAATTTATAGCAAAATGGTACATCAACTGTGAGTGTGCATGTGCATAAGTGACAAAATCACACCACTGCATCACTCCAGACCATAAAACAACAGCGTGTGTGTGGAGAGAGGCGAGTGGGCTGGGGAGAAATCTCCATGCTAGCTTAGTTGCTGGGCTGGCTTGGTGCGTAGGAAGAACTCTTTGCAGAAAGGCAGAATTCCTTCAGTTCTGAGCAACAGAACCGCTTAAAAAGCTGAGCAACAAAACAGCTTTAAAAAGAAGAAGAAGAAGAACCATTATGTCCTTGCAAAATGCTAGCTTGACTACTTTTCCCTTACTCAGTTGGGCAAAACCTTTAAGGGGATTACAAGGTTAGCTATAATTTTTTTAGTTATTCATCTTATAGACCAATGAATCCTCTTCACTTACATCCTTAAGAAGACTCTCATTTCCATAATTACAATTTCCATTCTGAGTAACGGAATGTGCAATGAAAGGGAAGGCCTACGTGCTCATGCCTACCCCGTGGGTACAGGCTTAGGGGAAGAAGGTAGGGTCCTTCTCTCCTCTCTTATTCTCTTGCTCCTTGTCCTCTTGTCCTCTGGGTATTATAGCTGTGGTACACATGCTAACCTAAATGAAAGGAGAGGCCATGTCGGTTCAGGTCAGATCAGAGATGCGATCTTACATTTTCAAAGGATCACATTGGTTGGTATTTATTTGTGGGATGACTGTTTATATGTGGATTTAAATCAAAAGCAGGGAAAATACTCATTGGGCACCAATAATAGCACAAGGTTGGCTGTCAGGAAACAATATGGTAGCAGTAGGACTGGATGAACAGATTCTAGATATGGTTTAAAGGCTGACCAGGTGGGATTTGCTGGTGTGTTGAATATAGGTCTTGAAGATAAAAATGGCACCAGGGTTTTTGTTTAAGCAATAGGGATTTCAGTTGCTGGGTATGGCCTATTTATTTTGCATATGTTAGGTTCATCCATTCGAATGTTGAGTTAGACATCTCTGTGATGGTGTTGAGTAGGAGGAAGACACTGAATCCAGATTGAGGAAATGGCCAGGGTGAAAACAGGATAATTCCGTATGCACATGTGGTAGGGATGTCTGGTTGAGGTCTCAAGAATGAGTGGAAATAGAGAAAAGATACCACTGCTTGGCACTGCACATGGTCGTACGGAGAGGGCAGGCAAGCAAGCAGGCAGGCAGGCAAAAGTCAACAGAGGATTCTGAGAGCTTGATACTTGGGAGGGGGAAAAAGAGAATCAAGTAAATGGTATCACTGGGGACAGGTAAAGGTGAAATCTCAGGAAGGAATGACCACTTGTGACAGCTAAGATGTGCTTGTTGGGTTCAGTAACAGGAAGGTCACTTCAGGGTTGGGAAGGGACTTGCCCTACATGGGACAAGACATGGCCTTCTTAGGAGTAGGAGTCTCTGGCTCTTTAAACCTCTGCCTTGCCGTGCTTAGTCCAACAGCTGTTTACTTAGCACTAGAGATAACAACAACAAAGATTTCCCCTTCCTCCTGTGCATACCACATGCAGGTGTGGGGTTCCCATGAGTACCACGGACAGCTGTGGGGTTCCCATGAGTACCATGTGCAGGTATGGGGTTCCCATGAGAACTACATACAGCTGTGGGGTTCCCACGAGTAACACAGACAGCTGTGGGGTTCCCATGAGTACCATGTACAGGTATGGGGTTCCCATGAGTACCATGTACAGGTATGGGGTTCCCATGAGTACCATGTACAGGTATGGGGTTCCCATGAGAACCATGTACAGCTGTGGGGTTCCCATGAGTACCACACAGGGAATTCAAAACCACCTCAAGAGACATAAGGATTCATTCACATTTCTCTCCGTGGAAGTCTGGGTCCTCTCTCCTTTCCTCTCTCTATCCCCCTTCTCTCTCTCTCACCCCCTTTGCTCTCTCCTTCTTATATAAATATGGTAAACAAAATAGCCTCATACAGCAATATGATGGGGGAAGTACTTCTGTGTATGTTTATCTTATTGATTGTTTAATAAAGTTCTGCTTGGTCAATGAAACGGCAAGTTAGACGGGACTAGGAGTCAAAGAGGATTCTGGGAAATGTAGTAGAGAAGTGGTGATCCAGGCAGGAAGTGACATAGCAAGGAGACTCATATTTAAAGAAGGAGAAGCAGAAAGCATCCCTCTTTTCCCCTCCGCTCCTGTTCCAGCGGCACAATATGATCCACCGGCAAGGAGGGGCACCAATAAGGTGTCTGATAAGATAAGTCTTATAAAATATATAGATTTTTGATAATTGAGACTGAGCAAACAGATGAGGAATCCTAGTCATTGGCCAAGCAGCGTTGAACCTAATACAAGTTTCTGTGTATTCATTTGGGCCTAACTCGGGC